GCTCAGAAATATTCTTAACATTCCAGCCAAAAGGACTGCTGTTCTATTGAAACAATCGAATCATAAGGATAGACAATGCAATAATTTAAGGTATAATTTGCAACAGAGTATAAAATGCTCAGAAATATTCTTAACATTCCAGCCGAAAGGACTGCTGCACTGTTCTATTGAAACAATCGAATCATAAGGATAGACAATGCAATAATTTAAGGTATAAATTGCAACAGAGTATAAAATGCTCAGAAATATTCTTAACATTCCAGCCGAAAGGACTGCTGCACTGTTCTATTGACACAATCGAGTCATAAGAGATTCAAGATTTTGTAGAATGCAACTTTATTAATGATTGATTGGAAAGCAAAATAACTATCAAATGCAAAGTTAATGTTAAAGAAGAATTACTCATAAATGAATTTTAATTCTTGGAATTTAGTTTTCTATAAATTTTGATATCAATATATATATTTTATGTCTGTAGGATTTAACTTTTTAAATTCGTTCATTATTTGTCATTTCTTCTAATTATACTATTCCATTATCTATAGTATATACTCTATATACTACATACTTAGACTCTATACTTTTCTCTTTTATATCATATTGCTATTAGTCATTAAGAAATTAATATTAGTCAGTTCGTGTAAATTAATTATACTTATGAAAATTTTTACAATATTTCTGTGTAGTTGTTATATATTCTGATCATTCAGTAATTTATATTGATCGTTCCTTGTAAATTTATCATACCATTGTGAATACTTTTTTTAGTTACTTATAATTGTGAAATTATAATACTTATTATTGTGTATATATTGATTATTACATTTATAAAAATTTTAATTGTTATGTAAAAATGTTTGTGATATATATGAAAATATATTTTGTACTTCGTATATTTTTTTTCTCATTTCCAATATAAGAAATTATTTAGGTTTTCTTATTTTTAATTACGTATGCGAACCATATCTAGGAATAATACCAGCGGTTGATTTATATACTGAACAAGTGCTGCCTCCTTTAGATCGCTAAAAATATTAAAATGGAGGTAATGTCAAATGGCCTCAGATAGCGATCTACTTATGTTTACTTAACTATGATTGCGCAGTTAAAATAATCGAAAAGTGCTCATGCCTTCTCGCTTGCACCAGTCTGTCAAGTTGCGCAAAAAACACCCCACAGACGCTACAAAATACATGTGAAAGTCGCAGGTTGCGCAAGTATACAGTTACGTCTGGGGCCGGCTTAAAGCCGGCCACAGACGTAACTGTATACTTGCGCAACTGAATGAATGCGCAACCAGGCGTATTTTCACAGCGCCCACAGACGGTTCAAGTTTATGTTCAAGTACTTGCGCAAGCATATCACAAATGTCAAATAATAAATGTCAAAACATAACCTAAAAATATATCTTTTTTATTAATTTATGTATTTACAGCATCAGAAGAGAATTCAAAGTGTTCAGAGGGCTAATTTAATAACTTTTAATTGTCGATAACTTCATAAACTTGTATTATGAATTTGCTACAAAGTAAAATAAAAACGGGATATGTGCTGCCACACGCGGCCGACGAATGAACTTGCCGACATGAATAAATGCGCAATTAAAATAATGAAAAAGTGCTCATGCCTACTCGCTTGCACCAGTCTGTCAAATTGCGCAAAAAACACCCCACAGATGCTAGAGAATACATGCACAAGTCGCAGGTTGCGCAAGTATACAGTTACGTCTGTGGCCGGCTTAAGAGTGACAGACGATGTAATAAACTAACAATATAATGCATTATTCACTAAATTTCATTAAATATTTTTATTAATGAGTAAAAAAAGTATAGAAATTATTCTTGTAGATTAGGTGTGATGTATATTTAAATCCGGCAATGTGTTTGTTGATTTATATTTCGATTTGATTGTACATTTATTATAATATAATATTATCTAGTATATTTTTGTTATTATTGTATTATTACAAAACATAATACGATTGTAATACCAAATTTAGTTTCAAATAACCGATCACTAAAATTCATTAATTTTCATTTCAAATTTTGCGCCATTAATTTGAATGCCAAAAGCAGGGCCCTCGCGTCTGAGTGGAGGACCCTTTAAGTATACCTTCTGAACATAAAAATCGGGAGAGAGAAACGTCTATATGTATCATACATCACATTCTAATCATAATTCTATTAAGGGGGCGTCCATTAATCACGTGTGCGAGTTTTTAAGGATTTTTGGACAATACCTCCCCTTGGTGATACATGGTGATATTCCCCCCCTCCCCCACCAAACATCATGTGTATTTTAGTGACGTGATAAAACTGTAAAGTTTTTGATTTTTTTTGAAAATGATTTTTTTTTAAATCAGTTAAGAAATAAATACACGTGATATCTTACTATACCCCTCCCTGCCCACGAGATATTTCGTGATTTTTTGTCAAACCCTCCCTCCCTCTAAAAACCTCACGTGATTAATGGACGCCCCCTAAGTTAATACAACTTCAAATATCCACGTGCATAGGTCCATTCATGTTTGTGTCAGCTGCAATTTTTCAGAAAAAATCTAATTTTGCAAGGCAGATTCCTTGGGTTCATGTTTTATTGTTATATAAAATTTATATGAACTATTTGTTAGTAGATAAATTTACCTAAATTTTCATAAAATGTATGTATGAAATTATGATTCAAATACAAGATACAAAAAATAATTGCAATAATATTTTGTAATGTGGTGACAATGTATTATATACTATTATTTCATTAATTTGGACATTGCTTATTTATGATCACTATTGTTGATGATTTTCCTTTTCCCATATATTACGTAATATTCTGATGATACGTACGTATTCTGATGATTAAAAAAATATATAACTAGTTGTAAGTGGTGTTTTGGCTTCAGGCAAGTTACATGAAAATGTAACTTGCCGTGTAAATAATCGAATTAATCAATAATAAATAAATTATTTATGAGTTATTTATAAGTATTCCGAGTGGATTTATCACACATTATTCAAGCACGTATCTAATACAACTCGGAGTATTTTCTAAGAGCAAAACCAAAATTCAATTAATTTTTATAATTGTACTAGTTTTTGTATGATTATAATGGTTTAGTAAGTTCATTAAGATCAAGTATTATATCCCCATACCAAGTAAAATGTCTAATTTTAACAAACGTCAAAAAAACGCAGCTATTTTTTTCAAATTTTGATGATTTCTTTAAATTGAACGACATGTCGTAAGGCTGTAATATTTTAGTATGGTCTCTTAGACCACGATATCTACCATCAAAAAAATCGACAAAAAATATTGTTTCATATGATAATTACAAGAAAGCGGCCCAGCCGACTTTTTACACAATACCCAACTAATTTTGAAACCGATTTTGAATTTTCAAAATCAATTCAGTATGATGAGCTAAAACGAGGACAAAAAATTTTACACTTTTTATATAGAAAAGGGCCCGACCGATCATCGCGCAAAACATATAATCGCTAGCCCACATCGAGATACGTCAAATAGTTTTTAAATTTTTGAAATCGGTTTAGGCATTTTTGAGAAAACGTCCCTGAAAGGTCTAATTTTGGCAAACGGCAAGGAAGGTACTAATTTTTGCAAACTTTTACAAATGTATAAAAATCAAACTACTTGTCGTAGAAACGTCGTATATTTTAGTAGGATCTATAAGACCATATCTATCGTCAAATAAAATTCATAAAAATCATCGTAAAAAAAATTTCAACACTAATTACAAAAACACAGGTCGCACAAAATTGTGGACTACAACGTGGACGAAAATTTTTATACTTTTTTGTTAAATATAAAGAAACGGCTTGGCTGATCGTCGCGAAAAACAGATAAGCGCTAGTACTCATCGAGATAATCGGTTCAGCGGTTTTTTAGAAAACGTCGACGAAAAGTAAAAAAATCGGCTCACATACACACACACAAACATATACTTATTCCAAACTTGGTCTCATTCGATTCAGAATGGCTTGAAACGTCGAGAAAACATAAAATTAGCAAATCGTATTTTGTCGCAAAAACAATAACTTCTCCTTCGGGAAGTTGACATATATATATATATATATATATATATATATATATATATATATATCACATTGTGAGAGGATAATGCCCTTTACGGTTTTAATTATATACTGTAATTCATACATATTTGTAAATCTTAAAAAAAATGATAACTATTAAAAGTTATTTTAATATTATGCAATATCATTATATAATGATAATGATAATGATATAATTTTCTGTTCAATATCCAAAGCATATATAAAACTCAATAATGTTATTATTTTCCATAAAAATCTGTTCGATTTTTTCTAGCTTTATCGCTAATGATTACAAAATATTGACGTCGGCGCATAAAACTAGTATAGACTATATCCTTATGAAGTCTAGGTCGTCAATATATTAATAAGGAAGAATGCGTAACAGAGACAGTCATATATTTAACGAACAATTTGCTAACGCGGTCCTGTTCTGTCTGTCAGCCTGGTTGCGCATATAGGTCCGCGATGTCGCTACAACGTGATAGGGGCTCGTTGGTCGATGGGCTTCGTGCGCGGCGTAAAATCAATACAACGCGCCAATCTATCGATTTTTAACCATATCTCACTCCAATTCAGTACAGGGAGAGCTTCAGTTTTCCTCAATCACTCGACTTGAGATCATCCACTTTCGCATAAATCATATCGCGTCTCTAAATAAACTTCGTGTATTTGTTAATTTTAAATTATACTTACATAGATGCACGTGTCTTGCAGATCATAACATTACCACGAGCACGTGCAAAATTCAATTTCGAAGTGAAACAGTATGCTTGCTGCACTAAATTAAATATAGAATAGTGATGCGTCACAATGCGTGAATTCAATGTGAAATTTGTTTACAAATATCAGTGCATACGAGAAAAATAATTTAATTTATATTTAAGCATCTATTTACGAAGATCATAGCGTGTGTCAGTGACCTCGGCATTTGAAATGGCTGCAGTTGAACCACCCCTTGTACCTGATAATTATCAACTGAAATGGCATTCATTTGGCTCGCATCTGCATTCTTCTGTTGCAACTCTTCTTAAATCGGAACATTTTGCAGATGTCTTTCTTTGCTCTGGGGAAGGTCACTGTTTTCCCGCTCATCGCTTTGTTCTTAGCTCATGCAGTCAATATTTTAGCGGAATTTTTGATAGGATGAAACAAACTCAGCAAAATCTTCCCATGTATGTAGTTCTTCCTCCAGAAATCAGTACTAGAACGTTAAAAACTCTTATACGTTATATGTACAGTGGGGAGACAACAGTGTCCAACGATATTTTGGATAACGTTCTCCGTGGTGGAGATGCATTAAAAATTCGCGGTCTTTGGCGACAAAAAAATGATGGACCTTTTCCAATGGAAGCACCAGCTCAGCAACTTGCACATACTAACAAACCATCTCGTTTACAGGAAGATATAGCTAAATCTCAGAGCAACATGAACGCAGTGCATTCTAAAACTAAACAAGTACCTAAATTAACAATTAAATCTGGGAAGTCTTTTGAAACGATAAAAAATTCCTTACCTCAAACAAAAAAAAATGAAACTACACATGTACCTATAAAAATCACCGAAAATCACAAATCTCCTGCAACAGAAAGCCCAGTCAGCGAAAAAAGACCGCGATTAGAACCGAAAAAAATTGAAACGTTATTACAAAAATCTCAACATGATGTAAACTGTGATAAAAATGATAAAACAAGAGAGTATCTGGTGATAAAAGATGAGCCAATAGATTGGGAAGATTATATCGAAAGTCCAGTAGTGCAAAGTGATGAATTTCGCACTGAAATTACGATAAAACCTGAAATTCTTTATGACCCAGCCGAAGACGCTGACGAAGCCGATACAACGGAAGAAACAATGGAAAGCATAGAACCAGTCTACTCACCGCTCACGTGTGAACTCTGCGCTGAGGTCTTTGCATATCCTGCGGACTGGGTGCGACACATTGAAGGACATTCGAGCTTGGATGGACAGACTGATCAACCTGCGCGGAGGCAACGAAGAGGAAGGAAATGCGATGTTCGTGATATACATGCTTTTCATCTTATTCATAAAATTATTTTGCGCCGAAGAATATTCGTTTATATACATGGTTAATAATAACACTACATGTTTTATTGATAAAATCACAAGATGGAACTATTTTTCATAAAAATTCTTCGAGAAATTCGAGAAACATGAAAATTTCACGTATATTTTTTCCTTAATTGTAGATGACATAGTTTATATATACATGTGTATATACATGTATATATATATACATATATATATATATATATATATATATAACAATAATAATAATTTGTTATTGTTCAGGATGAAAACGACACTGAGAATATAGCGTCATTACGTTGTGATTTATGCTCAAGGTAAGACTATTTAGTTATTTATATTTTTATTTTATGAAATTATGTACAAATATATATTCCTAAAAATATTCAAACATGTAAATTAATGAATATGGTGCGGAATTAATTGGAACCACATAAATATGGAACACAACTGTCATTTTTTTTTGTTAACGTCAGACTGTTTCCTACGCCTGCGGAATGGGTCCGGCACATCCAGAGCACGCACACCGAAACGGAACTGGCCATGTCTAACAACAGCCTACCGCCCCGGCCGCGCACCAGACCGACATACAGTGACGGCACCGTGAATAAAACGTGCTCCGTCTGCCAGAAGAAATTCCCGTCTCACGCCAGCATGGTCATACATAAACGCACGCATACTGGTACGACCACCTAATTCAACCTAACATTTTCCTACCTAAATTAAGTCAACTCGTCTGGCTCACGGACATTATTTTAGGTACGTTTTCATGAAGGATTCTAACAGATTAAACAAATTCAATTTGGAAATAAACATATTATTCATGCGGATATGCTCTAGCGCATATCCTAACCCAATTATATACATTGCTATAAAAATCCTTGTTTGCCAATTATGATAAAGAAAAGTTGAAGATCACTAATCAAAATTAAATTTTGATATGTTTGAAAAATTTCTAACAATCGCTGCAGCCATCAACATTGACTAAAAGTGACTAAAAATTATTTGCGAGCCAAACAATAGATCATACAGACTTTGGAAAAAGAGTTTTTTTAAAAGTATTATGAACAGAAAATTGAATGTCTACTATATATATATATATATATATATATATATATATACATATATATTTACTTATATACAAAGAATTTGGTATTAGAAGTGGAACGAATATTAAGATGTAAATATGAACACCCTACACTTAGGTTTGTAGTATTAGAATAAGGTATATCTCATCTTAAGTGTAATGTCTTACAGTAAAATGTATAGTTATTGTCACATTATAAAATACTAATTATAATTTATGTTTAAATACGGATTAACTATCAAGTTCCTGTGACAAAGCTTGACACAATACCTATTAAACATATAAAGTGTGAGTAAGAATGTTTAAAAACCAATTCTAAGTACTTATAACTAAAGGAACTTTCTTTTTGTATACTTTATTTAACAGCTATCAGAATTTAGAAAATGCTATGAGTTATTGTGCTTATGTTTCTATTCACTCACACAGGTATACATATTCACACACAGTCATACACGCACACATAAATAAATCGGCTGATGTTTAAAAATTACAATAGTATCCACTCCACTGAGAGATCAGTCTGGTCTTTATCAAATTTGATCTGTCTTCAAATCAATTGGAACTTTTCTTTTGAGTCTCCTAGATCGGGGATCTTCAATAAGATGTTTCACTATTTCATTGTAATGGGATTCCCAAAATGGCGATGACTGGTACTGCTAATTACATCTTTCACAAATGGTATGTTCAAGTCGTCATGAATAATTTTGTTACTGACCCAGCACACTACCTTGGGGACTCTTGCCTCAATCAAGCAAGCTGATGAAGTTTCCGTATTTACTTTAACCCTAAACCATCTATTTTGAAGATACGATTCCAACAAATTATGATATTCAATTGGGAGTGATGATTTTATCTTATACACTAATCATTTGTGTCATTGTTTATCAAAGGCTCGATTTACATAAAAAAAAACTGATGAACAAAATTGTTTTGTTTCTAGTTTTGTGGATGACGATCACAATTCTATGGCATTGCTGAATCGTCGAGTGTTGTTTTCGAAAACCAAACTGGTGGTCTGGAATTACGTTAGTATTGTTTTGTATATGTTTAATCAAAGACTTTTGATGCCACTGGCAGGAGATTATAGGTCGGTAGGATGATACATTATATGGGTCGTTACCGCTTTTGTCGATCATTTTAACTATTGAAGTTTTATAATGTATTGGCCAATACTTTAGCCTAATTATATGTATAGTAAGATAAATCCCTTTTTTGACATTTCCTTCAACAGTTTCGGTGTAATTGTGTCGAAACCAGCGGATTTTCTAGTTTTTCAGCCGGTTTCAGCCTGTTCTTAATCGGTTTCCAGATAGAGTTATCATATCGATTTAAGCTTTGTACATAATTATTAAAGTTTTTCTCGTTAAGTTCTTTAAGCCGAAATTTAAGCTTATTAGTCAAGTTGTTAAGAATGTCTATGCCAGAAGGTAGATGTGTATGCTGACATTTGCGCCTAGCTTTACAGTTTTCACTCAAAAGTTTTTTTATTTCAAGTGGAATAGTATTTTTTTTTAATAATTTTTACAACTGTCCTGAAACGGACAACAAGTAAAATATTTGACATGAAACTGAAGGCGTTGGCAAAATACAAATCATCTGACCATTGCCAGTGATTTGTCGAAGGTCCTATCTATTGTTGATTAATGCCGAAGAAATTTTCTTTTTAATCGGACCCTGGTAGAGTTGTTCTGAAGTGGAATAGAATGTTGTTGATTTTGTTGAGCTGGAAGTGTAGCAGCTTAACAGCTTCTAGCAGAATTTTGTTGAATGTTGCAATACCATCTTCTGTTTGGCGACTTGTTTTGAGTTTCATTTTTAAATTAGTATTTTCCTCATTAATTTGGCGATATAGCTCCCAATTGATATTAGCAGAGTGAGGTAGGTAGGTGTACCTGTTGAAAAGTTGGAGAAATCATGTCGGAGAATTATCGCATACAGTTGTTTACCTTTTGGATTTGATATCCTTGAGCCCCAGAGAGGATGCTTACTGTAAAAGTCACCGCCAGCTATGAACTTAGATCCAAGCATTGAGAAATATTCGTAGAATTGGGAAGTGTTAATGATATGTCGAAGTGTACTAATACTAATTCCTAATTCATCAGTTTCGTTTTGACAGAAGTTGCTTGAATTTGTTCTTTCCTGAAATTTTGCAGCTCATAGTGAACAATAGCAGGTTTTATTAGAATCGCCGCGCCCCCGTTGGCTGTTACTAAAGGAACAATGATAGATATTTTTATAATGTAAACAAATGGAATGAACGCTTCACATACTAAATTCAAAAAATGTGAAAAAAAATAAATTGAATGAGAAATTAAAATATTAAGTAACTAAAAATAATATTCAAAAAAAGTTATAAATTGTTAATAATGTTCATATATGAGTCGTGTAAAATATCTGGTTCCGTTCTCAGATTTACGCTGTTGTTTATATGAACTATTTTATTTTTTTAATATATTTTTATTGTTACAACAGCAATCGGAACTACTTTAACCTCACATGTCCTATAAGCTGTTTGTTGAAGACTTATAAAATAACGTATCATGAGAAGCAACCCATATCGGTTTACCATTCTCCTATGTGTGGGGATTTTTATATTAACTTTTATGTCTAATAGTTATCATATGATCGAGTGTTGCAGCTATGCCTCGTGCCTTAAGGCAAATTGCTGAAACTTCCCGTACCGTAATTAAAAATTCGAGAAATGAAAATAATCAATAATTATTTTAAATAACTTCAAATAGATTACTGTAAATTTATGTAAAGTGCTTATTATATTGGGCGACCGACGAGAGTTACAAATAATTTATGTGTATGTTTACAAGAAACTTGTTCAATTTTTTTTTAATTTGATTTTTTTGAAATTTTTTCAAATTCTTGAAAATTTTTTGGAATTTTTGAAAAAAAAACGATTTTATTTAATTTTTTGAGATTTTGAAAATGTTTGAAAATATTCGTTTTTTTTTGAAAATTTTGAAATATTCTCAAATTTTTGTAAAAAATCGTTTTTTCTTAATTTCGATATTTGTTTAAAATTTATTGTGAAACCATTTTTTGCACACTGTCTACACAAGCAAAAGGTTTTTTGAATTAATTCAATCGGATGATTCGTTCTCTCCAAAACAGCATGACCATTTTTACACCTGTTGCTCTCCATAGGGTAGGGCGGGGCTAGTTGAGCAAATTTTTACTTAAACGGATGTAGCTCATCAATGAAAAGTCTAAATAAATTGCTATACGGCTTAATGGATTTGTTGTTTATCGCTTAACAAAAGTGTTAATACTATTTTTTGATAATAAGTAAAATTTAAAAGCTACAGCTGTTTAAATGCAAAAAGTCAAGTATGCTCAATTTACCCCATAGGTGGGGCAAGGGCAAGAAAATATAATGAAATCATAGGTTCAATGTCGATTAGTGATGAAATAAACTAAGTTTTTAATAACCAGTTCTATATTTATAGTCTTTATTGACAGAGAAAACAAAACTTATAGTAATTTTCCTTGAATAATTAACCAAAAGTAGAATCAACAAAACAATATCGTATCTTAGGAATTATTTTACCATTATATTCAATATTTTTTGTTTCAAATCATTATTGCTTTATATTATTACTCATAGACTTAGCTTAAATCTTAAAAATAATAATTAATTTCTGGAAGTTAATGGTAATTGTCTTAGTGACAGAACAAGTTTAGCAACTATGCTCAACTAACCCCAACTCGGAATTTCAAAATAAAAGTGAGTTTATAAAAAAACCGTGAGAATCATACCCAGAATCTCTGTGCATATTAAAAGTACTATAATTATATGGAAGAATAACATTTATCTGATTAAAAATAAATAACATTTGACTGAACCAGACGAAAACTCGTGATGAATTACTTTTTTACTTTTCGGTCTCAAAATAAACAAAACGCCCGTGAGTCTCACTCATTTGTCCAGCGGCCACTAGCGATCGCGGGATGTTTATTTCTCCCAAACCTCTATCTTTCCGCCATATAATGCCTAAACGGACGGTGAATAGTTTTCGAGATATTTCTATTGCTCAACTTGCCCCTATGCTCAACTAGCCCCGCTCTACCCTTCCTCCAAAACGGGAAAATTGTCTTTTGCAAAAACGCTTTGCGATCGAGTACGAACCGGATGATTTTTCAATCATACAAATCGGTTATTCCATACTGTCGAAAATGTCAAGGACATTTGTTTGAATCATATAAATAAACTTCAAAATTAAAAATCTTGGTCCAAAACCCAAAACAATTGACACAAAATGTGTACACATCATTAAAATATCTATGAAATATCTGATAATTTGATGTGCATATATCTAATGAACATTTTTGATCGCCAAATGGCATTTTTTTTAACTTTTTTTTATTGAGAGTTCATAACTACTGGACCTGCCTTTCCAAAAATTTAAACAGTTCCCGAAGGAGAAGTTTATGTTTTTATCAAAAAATCCGATTCGCTAATTTTATGTTTTCTCGACGTTTCAAGCCATTCTGAAACGAATGAGACCAAATTTGGAGAAAGTATGTATGTGTGTGGGTGTGTGAACAGATTTTTTGCCGTAAATCGATGTTTTATCAAAAACGGCTAAACCGATTTCAAAAATTTAAGCCATTCGATGTATCTCGATGAGGACTATTGTTTGTCAGTGTTGTGCGCCAAGCCGTTAATTTATAAATAGTAGAAAAGTGAAAAATTTTGCGTTCATTTTGAAAATTCAAAAACCGTTCGAAAGATAATGGTTGGGAATCGTGCTGATTAGTTTTTCGTAGAGATCGACCGGGCCGTTTTCTTGTAATAATGTGTTAAAAAAATGTTTTTCGTCATTGTCTTCTAGATCATGCTAAAATAACACGGCCCTACGACAACTCGTTTAGCTTTAAATATTCGTCAAAGTTTGCAAAAAATAGTATCGTTTTTCTGGCATTTGTCAAAATTACACATTTCATCGACGTTTGCTCAAAAACGCCTGAACCCATTTCAGAAATTCAAAAACCATTTGGTGTATCTCAACAAGGACTATCATTTTTCAGTTTTGTGCGACGATCGGCCGAGCCGTTTCTTTATAACTTGGAAAAAAGTGTTAAACATTTTGTCCACATTTAATCTCATACTACCGAATCGATTTAAAAAAATCAAAAACTGTTCAAAATATATTAGTTAAGAATGATACTGATTAGTTTTAGGTGAAAATCTACCGAGCCGTTTTCTTGTAATTACCTGTTGACAAAAAAAAATTAAGCCGATTTTCATGGAACTTTTTTGGCGATATATATCATAGTCTTATAGAAGTTACTGAAATATTACGGCCTTACGACAAGTAGTTTAATTTAAAAGTTTGAGAAAATAAGTAGTTTTTTTGACGTTTGTTAAAATATAAATAAGACTATTTACTTGGTATAACTATAGAGTACTTGGTTTTAATGAACATACTAAACCATTAAAGTCCTACGAAAATAAGTTCAATTATAAAAATTATTGACTTGTGAAAATTTGAACCTGCCTTTCCAAAAATTTGAACAGTTCTTCGTTTAGTCAATATAAGTAAAATGTTTTTTGAATTATTCAAATCGAACGTTTCATTCTCTCAAAAACTGAATTACCATTTTTGGTTCTTTTTGCCCCGTATTTTCGAAATCAGCACATCTCTTTATCAATACGAATTGAATGTTTTTTAAATGATTCAAATCGGTTGCTTCGTGTTCCCGAAATTGTCGACGAAAATTTGTAACCGCACACAACACATACACGCACACACAGACATATATCCATTTTTTTTATAAGGTATGCTAAAATGTTCAACGTAAAGATATATAAAAATTTTCAATTTCGATTTTTTTGCGATTTACCCTACGAGAAAGTTAATTATGTAGTGATCTACAACCTCACGTAGAATAGGTGTTAGAACTTTGTCTTCTGGTTTCTTATCATGGTTATTTTATTATTATCTGATTCTTGACACTCTGAGTGTAGTGTGTTCATATTTAGATTATATAAATATATATAATATATATATATATATATATATATATATAAGTCTAGTAATCGGGCATAACATCAGTAAAAAACATGAATTTCTTTCAAAAATTTATTTTAAATCCATACGTTTCGGCTATAATCCTAGCCTTCATTCAGTGGAAACTAAAAACTAAAACAATTGAATTAGAGTAAAAATAAAAAATAAAAAGAGTAAATAGTACTTACAATTAGTTAATCTTAGTGTTACATTGGAAGATTTTAATAATCCATGGTATCAGGATATGGTAATGCACTACACTTTGTATTATAAACATTAAACTTGAAGTTACACAATATTTTCACAAAATACTAATTTAAAAAATCACAAATAGATAGTGTGTTGTTCGTAGACTGGTTGAAGATATAATAGAGAAAAGACTTTTTAAAAAATATTTTTACCCAGATTCTGCACATGTGTGGAACGAATTGCGAATCCTTTGCGCGGCGTTTTTATTGTTTTGTGAGAAATTTGGAAATACTATCTGAATAAAAGAGATTTGTGTCGCACAGCGTGTTAAGTTCATTCCGTTTATTTATTGTTTTATTGTTATAAATAGTTTAAAAAGATTCTTCTATAATTCTTCGTTTGAATAAATTTTGTTCGAATGGTAGTACAGTCGGGTTAGAAAAGTCCATATTGTGTTTTAAAGTATAAATATGCTCCGCAATCATAGTTTTAAATTGTCTCGAATTTTTTTAATTGTTTTTATATTGTTGTAAACGTTTAATTAAGTTCTGGCTTGTTTCTCCTATGTAAATTAAATTACAATCTAGACAATTATTTTGATAGACGAGATTTCTAAGTCGTTCGATATTAAAAGGGGTTTTTGTTTTGGTTGTGGGGAAATCAAGTAGGCTAGACTTGGAGAAAAAACAATTGGACTTGTCATTTTATTTATCATTAATTTTTATAATCAATAAATTTTATATATTTTTATACAAGTGGAGTTTGTACTTTCATATTCATAACTACTCCCACATTGGTGACCCCGACGTGATAGATGAAGACAGAGAAAGAGCATTTTTTGAAGATTTAAAAAATATAGATTTTGATGCAGCACCATAATCACTGGTCTTCAGTGACTACTTATAAGGTACGTCCAGTCCTCGGTTCATCGTAGTTAACACATTTACTACCTGATACCGGACTTTCGTTGGTATACCCATTTGGTATACCTAGACCTCAGTGTTTATTGCTGACACAAAAGTTAATTCCAAGCCTAGACCCTTGGGTCATGAATTGAATGCACTATCAAATGGTCAAATCTCACCAAATCGTCTTTTGATGCATAAGACTTAAGACTGCATCTTGTCATGTCGATGACTCTTTAATACGCTTTCCTTCGAATCGCATCCGATTCCAGAATACGTTGTATGATCCAAAGGGCTAAAGAAGTCAACAATATTATTTTAATCATTGCAAAAATTCATATTCTCACAGAGCGCCATCTGTTTACCCAAAATATTGTTGAAATGAAAATTAATACAGTAGATCGATAAATTCACCACATGATTTATATTCAGAACCATATGCAGAGAATTACTAATTGACCAGTACCACAACACTGCTATAATCTGCTTTCCCACCATATTTTTATAACGTGTTTCCCTGTATTTTTTAAACTGTGAGGTCAACACTGGGCAGGGAGTGTGTGCTAGATTTCGAGAAAAAGCAATTGAACTTGTCATTTTATTTATCATTAATTTATATAATCAATAAATTTTATATATTTTTATACAAGTGGAGTTTATACTTTCATATACATAACTACTCCCACATGTTAAAAATAGTACTAGTCGTTGTACTAAAATTGTTTACAAGTCGGAGTCTAGATTTATAAAAAAGTTTTTACCAAGGAACATACAACTCTTTAATGTATGGCAAACATATTACACCAGAAAGAGTTTCTGAGTCAGGTAAATCGTTATGAACTGTGGAATTGTCCATTTTATTCAAAAGGTATGTTCGTCTGTTACTGGTTACGGAGTTTATAAGTTTTAAGGGATAGGAGTTATCTGTTAGAATTTTTGTAATTAAATTGATGTTGTTGTCCCAAAATGTTTTGTCCGATAGAAGTAATGCGTGGTCAGTTAGATTTATTATAGTATCTGTTTTCATTTTGTGTGGATGGTAAGAAAAATAATTAAGGTAACGTCCAGAGTTAGTTGGTTTTTGGTACCAATTTGTTATTAGTTTGTTATCAGTAGTACGTAAAAGTTTTATGTCTAAGAAACTTATCGAGTTCATTGTCTCTAATTCTACTGTAAATTTTAATTTTTTATTGACGTTATTAAATTGATCAATTATCATAGTGACATCATCACTAGGGATACAAGTGATAATGTATTTTACATAACGGTAATAAAAAATATGTTTATTGTAATTTTTAAAAATTGTATTTTCAAGAAGTTGTAAAGATATTTCTGCTAGAGATGGACTTGCTGGGGAACCCATTGGCGCCCCAAAAGTTTGATAATAGAAAGAGCCATTAAATTCAAAATAAGTGTTAGAGACAATGAACTTGACAATTTCTCTGAACCAGTTCTCTGAACATACCTTTTTTTAACTATTTATAACAATAAAACAATAAATAAACGAAATGAACTAACGCTGTGCGACACAAATCTCTTTTATCTAGATAGTATTTCCAAATTTTTCACAAAACAATAAAAACAACGCGCAAAGGATTCGCAATTCGTTTCACACATGTGTAGAATATTGGCAAAAATATTTTTTAAAAAGTCTTTTCTCCATTATATCTTCAACCAGTCTACGAACAACACACTACCTATTTGTGATTTTTTAAATTAGTATTTTGTGAAACTATTGTGTAATTACAAGTTTAATATTTATAATACAAAGTGTAGTGCATTACCATATCCTGATACCATGGATTATTAAAATCTTCCAATTTAACACTAAGATTAACTAATTGTAAGTACTATTTACTCTTTTTATTTTTTTATTTCACTCCAATTCAATTGTTTTAGTTTTTAATTTTATTTTTAGTTTTCACTGAAGGCTAGGATTTTAGCCGAAACGTATGGATTTAAAATAAATTTTTGAAAGAAATTCAGGTTTTTTATTAATGTTATACCAGATTACTCGTATGTCAACATCAAATTCAGAATCATACAATATATATATATATATATATATATATATATATATATATATATATATATATATAATAGATTGTCAAATATCTCCCTTCCGCCTTTTTGTATTATAAACCAAGAGCAAAAAAGCGGAAGGGAGATATTTGACAACCGATAAATATATATATATATATATATTTATTATTATAAAAATTAAAAATATAAGCATAAGTACAATATTTAAATATTCTTCTCGGGCTTGTTAAATATCGTGAGCTTGTTAAATTATCAAATCATATCATATTTGAATTATCATATATGAAAATTATTAGTACGAAGAATAATATAAATAATAAATATATTTTTTGTAGGTGAGCGACCTTTTTTATGTAGCCTGTGTAACAAAGGGTTTAATGTTAAATCTAATTTACTGCGGCATTTAAGAACATTGCACGATCAAATAATTAGCCCTTCTACAGTCGCGGACGGCGTTAAATCAGAAGCGCAAGAGCAAGACATGATGGAAGAGGAAACGCAAGAAAACGGATAATATTGAATGGATATGCAACATAAGTATAAATAATTCCGATATTCTAAATTATTTTTTAATAAATTTGTATGTATTTTGGTAAGTATTGTATGGAATTACACATTTGCCGCACTATTTTATCTTATTTACTACGATCTTTTCACAGATCACACTTTCCAGTAGTATCACCATAAAAATATTTTTATGACTTTATATAATAATGCTGTATAAATAATAATGATGTGAGCATTTAGGTCCAAACTCTGAACATCATTAGTTACCTCTCGTTTTACGTAATCGTAATTGTATATGGATTCTATTGAGTAGAATTATTATATTCCAAATTTAGATCTGTTACTGAAATTCGAATATGTAAGTTCATATATTCTTAATATAATTAACTGATCATTTAATTTTGATAATAAATATTTGTGCATTAATGAATATATGCTAATGTAATTGAATAATGAATGTATTTTTTCTCAATAAATTTTTTTGAAATTTATACTATTTATTTTAATCTATTCTAATCGTTTACCTTATCTAACCACCGGGTCAAAAAAAAACTTTTCTTTGCTTAAGGGGGTATTCTTATGTAGAAATTCCAAAAATTCGTTTTTTAACTTCCTGTAGGGTAAGTTATAAAAATCGCAAAAAACGAAAATAAAAATTTATATATTTCTTTAAGTTACGTTTCAAATCTTGGTACGGAATCCAAAAAAATTGACACAAAATGTGTACACATTATTAAAATCTATAAAATATCCAATAATTTAATGTGCCTAATGAATATTTTTGACCCAGAAATGGCGTTTTTTTTAACATTTTCTTATTGAAAGTTCATAACCGCTAGACCTGCCTATCCAAAAATGTAATGTACAGTTTTTCGTTTAGTCAATACAAATAAAATGCTTTTTGTGTTATTCAAATCGGACGCTCCGTTCTCTCAAAAACTAATTTTCGATTTTTGGCTCTTTTTGTCCCACATCTTCGAAACGGCTTTCCTTATTAATACGAATCGAATGTTTTTTGAAATTGTTCAAATCGGTTATTCCATACTGTCGAAAATGTCGAGAACCTTTGTTTAAACTATATGCGTGAATTTTAATATTAAAAATCTTGGTACGGAACCCAAAAAAATTGTCATAAAATATGTACACATTATTAAAATTTCTATAAAGTATCTGATAATTTGATGTGCATAAGTCTAATGATCATTTTTGACTGGGCTGGACCTGCGTTTTCAAAAATTTGAGCAGTTCTTCGTTTAGTCAATATAAATAAAATGTTTTTAGAATTATACAAATCGAACGCTTCGTTCTTTCAAATACTGAATTCTCATTTATGTTTTTTTTGCCCATATCTTAATTTGCATATGTTTAAAAACTAGTCAGCACGTCTCCTTATCAATACGAATTGAATGTTTTTTAAATTATTCAAATCGGTTGATCCGTATGCCCAAAATCGTCAACAAAAATTTGTATCCGCACACACACACGCACACACGCACACACATACATGCACACATACATGCACACATACATGCACACATACATGCACACATACATACACACATACACACACACATACATCCATTTTTTTCGAAGGAATGCCAAAATGTTCGGAAACCTTTGAAACGTAAAGATATATAAAAAAATTTATTTTCGATTTTTTTGCGATTACTATAACTCAAACTCAAAAAAGTGGCAAATAGTTTGTAATTTTTTTTTAACTTAATCCTAGTGTATAGCGACATCATTCTAGATGATTAATCTTTTTTTTTAATTTCAAATTTCTAGGAAAGTTGCAATTGTGTACACGGTGTCAACTTTTTGAGAACCCCAACTTTTTTGTTTTATTTTTTTTCTATATTTTGTTGACGTTATAAATAATAAAAAATAATAGTAAAAAAATGTTTGCCTTTTTTACGATGAATTAAAAATGACCTAAAATTCGTATCGTACAGCTGGCCATAGCTCCGAGGTAAGAATGTGTCAGCAACCCTACTGGACCAGGTTTCGATACCAACCTTGGCCAGCTTGATGTCAAGTAGTAGGTGATGTTAGATTTTCACTTGAGATTATAGACTTCAAATATGACATCAATTATAAGTATCCTTTTAAGGCGTTGCTGCAATATATATTCACATCACTATTATTTATATATTATCACAAGATTTAAAGTTTTTAAAGTATGATTTAAAGAATCACCGTCGCTTTTCAAATATATCTTTTTATATTTCTTTGATTTAGGATCTTTTGCTTTAAAACATTATCGCAAAAAATTCTCCACAATTTTTTTCAAAAAAAATTAATAAGTATTGCGTCTTATGGTGTGTCTATTTCAAGTCGCGTTTGACATTTACGGTTAAAATTTAAAAAATAATAAAAAATAATCCAGAATGCAATAATGCATTTAGATTAATATTAGAAATTGCCTCTAGAAAAATCCGGGACGCACAATATAAGAATAATATACACGAATTAAAAAAATCACATTAAAGTTCTAAATATAAATTATCATTAATACATTTATCATTAATTATTATTAATATTATTCACTAAATTGGTTTAAAATTAAATAACGTACTATATGTTATAAGCATCTAAAGCGGGCATGAACAGCTCTTTTACGGTATTTTTTGGGAGATCTCTACCCCATTCAAAATGCAAAAATGATTTTTGTACGAAGTACACTATAAATCTTACAATTCGCAGTAACAAAAAGAAATAAGTAAAATTGGGAAGGTAAATAACAATAAAATAACGATATTAAAAACAATTTTGAAGCTTTACCTAAAATTATATAATAGCAGTTAAATTTATTTCACCTATCCCCGTTTTACACAGAACTCGTGTTACATGTTTTTGATCTTACACGGTTTTTGAGAATAATCTTTTTAACGAAATTTATTAATTGTGCGTTTACACGAATTTATAAACACTAATCTATTACTTAATCATATATGCAATAACAGTTTCATTGTTTTACTGTCAAAATACAGCATAAAATTTTATTGTTGGATAATGGCAAAAGATAACTAGTGGGTATGGCATCGTGACTTAAGGCAAATTGCTGGAACTTCACGTACCGTAACGAAATATTCTAGAACTATTAAATGTTTTCAAATAGATTATTATGAATACTGTAATATTGTCTAATATTTATAAAAATTATATAAACTGAATTTCAGAAATAAAAATTATATAAACTGAAATTATTTATTTAAATAATATATGTGAGCTTTAAAACTTTAGCCAGAATTAAAATTATCAGAAGTATTTTCGATATATATAGAGAAAAAAATTGAAATAAAAAGAACCTCAAAAGTAATTGTTCGCCAACACAAGCTGAAAGTTTTTTGAATCATTCAAATTGGATGCTTAGTTCTCTCAAAAAATGTCACATATTTAGCCTTTGCATATTTGCTTTTACTAAAAACTAATCAGCACATCTCCCTATCAATAGAAATCGAATGTTTTTTGAATTATTCAAATCGGTTGATCTGTGTTCCCGAAATCGTCGACGAAAAATTGTATTCGCCCACACACACACGCGCACACACACACTCACATACAACCATTTTTCTAAAGTATGCCAAATGTTCAGAAACCTTTGAAACGTAAAGATATATAAAAATTTTCATTTTCGATTTTTTTGCGACTACTTTAACTTCCCGTAGGGTAGTTATAGTAATGGGCCGAAAATCGAAAATGAAAATTTCTGCATTTCACTACGTTTTGAAGGTTTATGAACATTTTGGCATGCCTCAGAAAATATGGATGTGTGTGTAAAAAAGCTTTTTCATAGTGATTTTTGCTTAGCACAGTTTTTTCATATAAGAGTGAATTTTTCAAGTTACGCGGTTTTTTATGGAACCTATCTTTAGTGTAAAACGGGTGATGGGTGTATTAACCCTTCTTTGCATGGTGATGGAATCTTTGCAATCGTAATATTTAGTCAATCAAAAAAAGTACTCAAAACCCTTGTACAGTAAATTTGTTGTGGCTGGCAACATTTTAAGCGACTATTGCGTACAACAAAACGCAACTGTCAAAAAAAAAAATAGCAAACACTACTGTTAATTACCAGGCCTAGAACTTGTCATTTCGCTGTTTGTTGTGACTGAAAAAAGGAACGAGTTCTTAGTTTGTTATAAGGAAGTAAAAGAAGATATAAAATATAGTAAAAGTGAAAATGAGTGGGAAAAGGGTTTGTTTTCATGTTTTTGTTCATCAAAACACTGTGAATAAAGTTCTCAAAACTATGTGATGGAAATTTACATCACTAGCCAGTAGCTTCACTTGTAATGTATGGCAAACATTTTTTTGTAAATGAATTTTTATATTGTCGTTTGAGGAAACTTGAATAAAAGAAATATTGAAGATTATCTTAGTAAGTTAAAAGGCGGTTGGCTCTCAAAAGATGACCTCGATGATCAAGATTCCGATAGTAAAAACTCCGATTCTGATGAAGCAGAATAAAAACAACGATGATGATGATGATGTGGATGATGTGGATGAAACTGCTGACATTGGTCCTCCTCTTGTAAAAAGAGAAGATCAAGAACCCTCTCACCCATCAACATCATCCAATTTTCAGTCTTCGTCCAGTTTTCCATTTGACAAAACAAGCTTGAAAAAAAGAATTTGGTATATGACAGATAATAATACTTTATTGAGTTCTACTTCGTCAGGTCATATCAATGTTTTATCAAAACATTAATATATTAAATAAGTATATGTAATAGTATATTTTTTATCTATTTAATCTAGCTATTATAAACTCTTAGAATGTTTATTAAAAAAATGCTCAAGAAAGAGGTGAAAGTAAAAAGAGTCTGCTTACAATGGACCAATTCAGTAAATGTGTGGTAAATGTGGCGTCAATTTGTGCGTAAATAAAAATAATAATTGTTTTTCAAATTATTATCTTATATATAAAAATGAATCGCAAAATGTGTTGGTAAGCGCATAACTCAACAACGCCTGGACAAACTGGCCAATTTTTTTTTTAAATGT